GGCGACAATACCGAAGGCCCCCCCCAAAAAGTCGGATATTGGCTAACTCTTCCTCACCAGTACTTGGCGCTAAACTGCCACGGTTTGACACATGGCGGACTCCACGCATATCTGAAAGGAATCAATTCCCTGTCATTGTGTTCGTTGAAATTTTACCGTGAAAAGGGCATCGATACTTGGGATCAGTGGCCGTGAATGCTCCAGGTTGAATACGCATCATGGCGTAGATCTGAAAACAGTGGTGTTGAAAATCCCTCCTTTTCAAATCAAAAATGTCAAACGCTGAAGCAGAGCTGGACTGTTGTTGGCTGCGCAGATGCGTATTTTCCACACACTCTAAAAAAAGAAATGCCAGCGATCCATTTTCTACTGTGCGGAAACTCAAATCGGAGACATTTTGGCTGCTTTTGCGCGTTAAAAACGACAAAACAGTGGTCTCAAAGAGACAAAACGCAAAGCAGATCTGCAGTGTCGCCGGATGCACAAAATCATCGCAACGCAAAGAAGAGATGCTTTTGTTACTTTTTGCATCCATGACAGAATTCAAACTGCCGCTGCCAAAACTCGAAACACGACTGTAAGCAGAGCTGCAAAAGAATGACATCCATTCGTTCTGCGCATTCTATCAAGAAACGCAGACACGGCGGCGGTGTTGGAGGCACGAACCGACGTTGGCTCACTTCCCCATTTTTATCTGCTGAGTCACGTGAAAGCCACCTGCGAGGAGACAAATGCTCCACGTCGGGCGCAGTCGTTGATTTGTGTACTTCCCAGCCGTACCGCGTTGGGGCCAGCAAGTGAAGCAGAGTAAATGTCGGCCTCCCGGCGGGGAGGGGTCGACTTTGTAGCGAGTCTGGAACAGTGGGCGGGCGGGAAACACTACAAGTCGCGGGAGGGGGCCGATGACTTCCACATTTTCTACACATCGTTTGATGCCTTCCATCCTATCCACAAAGGAAAGTCATTCCCTTTGCTTGTCCATGTGAAAAAATACCCAATTTGTGTTCAAAATCCAAACAGTTAGCAGAGCAGTCATGTTGTTGAAGGCAATTACAATCGTTTTCTGCGGCGTCATGGATAAGCCAACTGCCCGAGCGTTGAAAGCTTTCTGGTTTGTGTGGCAGTAAATGTGGAACTCCAGTCTCGGACACACGTTTGTAGCAGACGAGGATTTCCGAGGACTATCTCGGAAATGTTCATTAATGCCACAAAAACAACATTCTCGTCATTTTCACCCAACTAGAAATATGGCCGTATAGTCTGCACATTTTTGGGGAAATAACAGTGGGCGAAAGAGAGAGCCTTGAGGAACACCGGGTGAAATATTAACCGTTGGCTATCGAGGATGTGAGGTGAGCGGTTTCAACAGAACTGATAAGTGCATTGTCATGGTTGATCTTACTTGTCAAGACACCCGGCAACTCTTTTTAAATGGTGTGCAAAATGTCATAATACGTTTTCTTTCATTTTTGCGGGCTGTTTTGAAAAGTTCCTCCATGCGTCATTGTGGCAAAACAATCGTTTGCTTCCACTTCAAGGCATCGACGGTCATCATTTTCCTCGCACTCAGTCATGCTCCAGTCGCGGCAGCCACGTCGGATGGCGTCGCCGCACGCCAATTAAGCCCGCGCGTGATGGAAACCAGAACTCCCGATCCCGCGCTTGGAAAACGACACACAAACACAACCCGCTCTGATTTAGGCCGCCGTCATTTGTGACTCGCACGGATTCCTCCAAACCGACGGTTTAAGTTTCACTTTTGCCTTTAATGTGATTTTGATTGAACACACGTGTCGCCCCCCCCCCCCCCCTCGGTCATGACCACGCCACCTGCGAGGAAAGAAACGCGCGATGTCATCCGTAAGCCGGCGGCGGCGATCGGTGATTTGTGTGCTTCTCGGCCGCGTGTTGCGGAGGCGAGCGGGAAAAGCCGAGTAAATGTCAGCCTCGCAGCGGGGGAACACGTCGTTGCGGCGACGCGCTGGCGGGAGGACCATGTTGCATCCATATTTTAGACTTATTTTACGAGGTTCTTTTAAATCGGAAACACAGATGCCGTCTAGATTCTTATTTGGCCCTTAAAAAAATAAAATAAAAAATAAATCCTGGTCCAAAAAAGGGCAAATGACTTCAGAATTGCACTTGAAAGCACATGAGGGATTTTGTGAGAGCTGTCTTTTTAATTTGTTCCAAGAAAATGCAACCTTTACAGTCACGCTGTAGTATTGTGAGGACAAGAAAGTCGCAACATATGAAAAGCACACGTCTAAAAATGTCAATTTAAGAACGTTCGTTAAGCTGCAATATTGAGGTAAAATAACCTTTTGGGAGAACATTTTTTTATCCCCAAGAAAAATGGGTTAAAATTATTTCATTAAAAACCTTACAAAGAATATGACCATTTTTTTTCATCATGTTTTCAGGAAAAATTGGGAGTGATTTTGGTGAGAATTCCGCAATGATCTGAAAAACGTTTTGACAAAAAAAAGTGATACAAGAAAAGTTGTCATCTAATTGAAAGAATATCTTCACAACATTATGATAACGTTTTTAACGTGCAACATGTGTTTTTATACCTTGGTGGAAAAAAAAAATCTGAAAGTGAAAAGATGATATTATGAAGAGGGGGCAGGGGAAGCTTCAATTTTCTGAGCAACATAAGATGGCGTGCCTCTTCAAGGTGTTTGTGTTTCCCCATCGGCAGGCGATGCTTCTGAGTCGCGACGGTCAGTATCTGCTGACGGGCGGCGACGGCGGCGTCATCTCCGTCCTTCGGGTGCACGACCTCAAGCCGCTGTTTGCCTACCCGGGCTGCGATGCCGGCATCCGCTCCATGGCCATGTCACATGACCAAAGGTCAGCAAACTGCAGCCGCTTCACCAAAACACTCCCGGTCGCCATGAGTGCCTGACCGATTTTATCTGCTTTCTGATAAAATCATCATAATTGATTTTTTTCACACATATGATCACACTATCACAAGATGACGAATTGGCAAAAAAAAAAAAAAATCTGCCAATTTTTGTCTGTTAAATGAATAGCACACGACAAAGTGTTATACAGCAATCAAACGCCCTTCCTGCGATTCATATCTTTATTGTTGTGTTAAGGGCGCAAAAAATATAGTTATTTTACCCATTCGCTATTAGATTAATCGGCTGATTAATCACTTCTCGGAATTTTCCTCTGCCAAAAATCGGCATCGGCCACAAAAAAAACAAAAAACAAAAGCTAGATCGACCCAGTCCACGTAGTCATCACCTCACTTCACCAACTGCTGAAAGTTCCATTTAAAATGTACCTGAACAAAAGTTAATCCATTACTAAATAAATAAAAACAGTTCTTTAGCATTACACATAACTAACTAACTAGCGTATTTTCCACACTAAAAGGCGCACCGAAAAGCCTTCCATTTTCTTAAAAGCTCACAGCACGCCTTAAAATCCGATGCGCCTTGTGTATGGTCATTACGGTAATATGTCGACCCCAAAACGGCTCCTTGCTCGAGACATGCTGACAACGCAGAGTTCAAACTTAAGGCGATCGGTTACGCAGTTGAACACGGACATAGAGCAGTGGCGAGAGAGTTCAACGTTTACGAGTCAATGTTATAACTTGCTGTTGGTTAAGTGAACTGTGTCGCTGCTTTATTGAATACGTTTTACTGACATCCGATCGTTCTGTTTGCATTTCCTTGAGCGTAGCTCCATCTAGTGGGTGCATTGTAGATTGCGTCTTGTAATGCGGTGCGTCCAGTATATGAAAAAAATTACAATCTAGGCCATTCTTTGAAGGTGCGCCTCATAATCCAGTGCGCCTTTTAGTGTCGAAAATACGGTAACTAACGAAATAAATACATAGGTGTTGCGGGAATGATTCCAGAAATAAAATAACTGCCCGTGTGGTTGATGTGATGCAGGTGCATCATCACGGGCATGGCGTCGGGCAGCATCGTGCTTTTCTACAACGACTTCAACAGGTGGCACCATGAGTACCAGACCAGGTACTGACCCCAAACCCAACCAACCAAAACCGCATCACACGCGTGACGCAAACATCACCCTGTCAGCGGCGCCGTGCGGAGTCGATGCTGAATGTATCCCAGCAAGAAGTTATTTTTCAAAACCGCCACAGAAGAAACTGATATATATATATACATATTATATATTTTCTAGATGACAATGAAGAATTTTTTTTTCTGTGGGGGGGTGTGAGGGGTTGCGCTTGGTTATCATGTGGTTTAAAAACAAATCTATTTTTAGCTGTAAGAGTCTATTTTCCTCTTTTCGTATCACACGTAACAATGCAAATATTTCCCGCGTACTTTAGGGTGAATGTTGTACTTTGTGTGTGCGTGTTTGGGGTTGATGAAGTTGCAACATTTTCACTAGTTGCTAATCGAAGGGGCTTTATACAAATATGTATATAAATCTATATCAGTATATAGATATATACACTTTCACTGTTATCTTCCGTATTTAAAAATGTTCATCTGCGCATCATTGGCTTACTTTTTTTGTTGTTGTTGCATAAATGACTGAGCAATCGAGAAACGACGTGAAAAAAGTTCACCGGCTAACATTAGCGAGGTAAGAGGAAGGTTTTCTCGCTTTACCGTGTCACGTGACTACATCCAACCAGTCATCACGAGAATTACATCGTTAAACTGACATCTGATGGGTTTTTTCCTCCCTCTTGTGTTGTGTGTGTGTGTGTGTGTGTGTGTGTGTGCGTGCGCGCACGTGTAGGATTCTGACAAATAAATGGAATTTTCTAACGTCAATTTATGGCCTGACTGGTGACTTGCCAAACATCCAAAAATGGAGACATTCCCCCAAGGTTTTTTTTTTTTTTTAAATGCAACACGGGTGTGAAGCACTTGTCAAAAAGTGCAAAATACTAGTTTCGGCATTCACAGGGAAGCCTTACGCTTTACACTGTCCATGTTTTGTTTTGGAAAAAAAAAATGCAACACAGGTGTGAAGCGGTTCTCCAAAAATGTTTATCCACAAAATTGCAATGTGTAGTCATTTTTGAGTCGGTGAAGAAATATTTCACACGGGTGTAAAATATGAATTATACATCAGAATTTTGGTTTTGCAATTAAACAAAAAACAAACCTGCAAATGCATTTCACTTTATACAGAAAAAAACGTAACACAGATGCGAAGCAATTCTCATAAAATGTTTTGACGTGGCGAAATGATTCAGTGAAGAACAATGCAACGAGTTTGTGTTCAGTGATTCACAGTAAAAGCTAAATTTTTCCGTGAAACAGTGCTCATACTAATAAATAGTTCAGGGAAACGGGGGACATCAAAATCTGACCGCATATTTCCGTTCATAGTAAATACTTGACTGTGTGGGTTCAATTCAACACAGATATGAAGCAGTTGTCAGAAACAGTACGGCTAAATAGTCTTTCAAGGAAAAGCTAAATCTGCAAGCGCGTCTCAATTCATCCAGCACATTTTTGACCTTGCGAGGCAGGCGAGGAGCAGTTCTCAGAAACAACACTGGACTTATATCGTTATTTTCTGTTAAATGTCCCGTAAAGCGCTTTGTTACGGCTGCAGCTATTGTGACGGCGCGATATCACTAAAGATGCATTGTATTTAATTATACAGCTAAAAATAAGTTCAGTGATTCACAGTAAAGCAAAACGCTAATATAGGTTTCTCTTTGTGCTTGGAAATAAAATGTGAGGCGGTTGTGAAGAAGTTGTCAGAATGTGATGAAATAGGAGTTCGGGTCATTGGCCAATAGTTTGGTTCGACGAGGAGACTGAAGTGTGTGAGTGGAGAAAGACGCTTGTTGCCCTCTTGTGGCCAATCGGGGTACTAACGAAATTATGAATAAAGTATTCAGGATTTGGTTCCAGCCGTATTTCAAAATGGAATTATGAAAAAAAAATAGTCCCTTAAATTTCCGCATACAATACTGCAAAATAAATGGGAGATAATTTTATTTATTTATTGTAAGCGGTAAATTACTGCTGATTTATGAAAAAATAAATTCCACTTCTTCAAGTCAATAGTTAAGAGTCTAAATAAATCCTATGACATCATCGATTTGGGTATGCGGTTGTCTGACTGAAGCGAGGCAATGTACAGTCAGTACAAATGCACAGTCTCGCAATTCCAAAGCACAATCTGAAATGTGTCGTCAATTAAAATGAATTCTGCTTGACAAGACTGATAAAAGCAACATTCACTCCACTTGAGTCCTTCCTCAATAAATACAAACAAGTCTCGTTTGGCTCAGTGTCAGACCTTGCCATGTCGTGTTTCAAACCCCCTCCATGAGCTCCTGGGCGACCCCCGTCCCCTCGATGGCGCCGAAGCCGGGCGGCGACGGGGGCGAGGCGGAGGATAAGGGCGGCGTGGACGGCGGCGAGGGGAACGAGAGCGGCAGGAAGACCACGTGCTTGACGGGACAGTCGGGGGTCGTCGGCGACGACGAAGAAGTCGGGGCACTTGGAGAAGCGTCCGGGGATTTGGGGGGGTCCGGTGATGGCGGCGGCTGGGCGGCGAGCTGGAGGGTCTCCTTATCAAGGGCCGTCTTCTGGTACGAGAGATGAGGAAAAAGTCCCAGTTAAGGTTTCAGCGAATTGCAAGAAGCTTCTCTTGGTTGGAGCCACCAAAGTCTACTTTTCAAAATGGTTATATTAGATGCAATCTATTCCATGCCTTTCATGGTGCGTGTATGTGATTTTGTTGTAGTTTTTAGATATGTATATTTTAAGAGCAAGCAACAGTTATTTCAAACGGGCAAAAGGGGTTACAACGTTTTCATTGCCATTTGGTCCCAGACGGTCAGCACAAAAAACTGAGCTGTTTTTCAGGGGCCAAAACAACATCCAACCGTTTTCTCAATCAGCTTATCCTCAAGAGGCACGCTGGAGTTTATCCCAGCCGTCTTCGGGCAGTAGGCGGGGGGGGGACACCCGAACCTGGTTGCCAGCCAGTCATGGTGCACGCATAGACAAATGACTATCTGTGCCCACTCATGCATGACGAGGGACAATTTTCAAAATGTTCCATCAATCTGCCAAGCACGTTTTCAGAAAGAATGGACAAAACCTACGCGGGCACGGTGAGAACACGCAAACTCCGCACAGGGAAGGCCGGAGCCAGAATGGAACCCACAACCTCTTCACTGTGACGTCAACGCACGAACCAGTCGGCCACCAGGCTGCCACGAAAAGAACATTGTCAGGCTAAAAATAACTCGATCACAGCTTTTCTCTTTCTCCACTAGATGGCATCAGAGCTCCGTTACAGTGAGGAAAAAGTGGAGCGGGTGGGACGCTTTTCTTTCTTTCTTGAATATATTTTAGTCAAGAGCTCATTTCACACAGCAGAAGGAGCAACATTTGAAAGACAAGCGCGAGTGTGACGATGAAGAAGAACAGGAGACGATGGCAGGAAGTCAAGTGTGACGTCCGGAAGCCGGCCTCTGAAAATCCCAGCAGACGTGTTTTGGGAGGTTTTAGCGGCAGGACGACATGAACTCTCATGTCCATTTCCAACAAATATGAACTACAAATTCTGACTTAATCCCTTTGGTGACCTTCCCGGCGAGGCGTTTGCATGTTGCATGGCCGTCGGCTTCCTACGTGCCCGCAAACGGCCTAATTTTGAACGTTGGGTCGACTTGGGCCTTGAAACGCTTTGCGATGTTCTCTTACCATAATGAGCGAGACGGCCGCCGTGGCGTCGCCTTGCTTGGCCGTCGAGCCGAAGTGCGTCCTCAGCTTCCCCGCCACCTCGGCCTTCATGTTATTCTCGGCCTTGTTGACGTCCTCCTGAAAAGCGGCGCCGCGTGAGCACGGCGGGCACTTCGTGCGCCCAACGAACGTGCGTGCGGCCCTACGAGCGAGTGAGATACCGTCACCCAAGGGTGCGCCTGGACGTCCCGCGCCGAGTAGCGAGCCTCCGCGTTGACCAGCAGCATCTTGCCAATCAGCTCCTGCGGTGGGACACGGTGCACAAACGCAATTCCAAATGTGTCGATGCGGCTCTCGTGAAAAGGTGCACATCGTTAGATGAGCCCAACCTTGGCGGAGTCGCTGATGTCGTCCCAGTAAGGACTGGGATAGTCCACCCGGCCCAGTAGAATTTGCTCAAACAGCTCCTCCTGCTGGTTGCTCTCACTGAAACGCGCCGAGCAGAGGCGGTCGTGAACACGAACGCAATCGCACAGTCAAATGTGGAAGTGGTTAATTTGTGAATTCTCGTCCCGTCGGGACGCACCTTCGAAATGGAGGGAAGCCACACAGCAGGACGTATGCGATGACGCCCGCGGCCCAGATGTCCACCTTGACGCCGTAACTGCGGAGCAACGCGCGGTGTTTTGAATTGTTCGCGTGACGCGAACAAACAATACAAAGTGGCATTGACATCCGAACAGCTGGCGATGACATTTGCGGTTTTAGAAACGAACACAACCGGTTGAGCAACACATTTAGACAGACAATGAAGCACGACTCACAGGCATGTATTATTTTTCTATTTGTCCTCGACGACAGTGATTCTCAAAGCGTGGTATAACTACCACTAGCGGTATGAAAAGAACAACTGAATTAAATGCTCAAACGTCCTGATGTTAGAGTGGCTTCAACCATTTTTTAAGACATTCGGTATATTACATGTGTTCAGTGTCATTCAGTTGTATTTAACTTTTAAGTAAGCAAAGATATGCACGTAATCTTTTTGCACTGTTAAAATGCTCATTTCGATTCATTTCAGCAATTGAAAGTACCGCAACTATATTTCTTTGCAAATGGACGAACGCGACGACAAGACGAAGCGCCTCACCCCGACTCCGTAATGATTTCCGGCGCCACGTACGTGGGCGTTCCGCACACGGTGTACAAAGGTCCTTCCGCCACCGTCGCCAGGCCAAAGTCGCCGAGCTTGAGCGACTTGGTGCCGTCGGGATTTTCCAACACCTGCCGGGTACACGGCATCGGTGACGGCGCGCCGATGCGGGCTGAGCCAAAATCAAAAACTGACCAGTAGGTTTTCCGGCTTGATGTCTCTGTGGACGATGTTCATGTCGTGAAGGTAACGCAAGGCGGCGGCCAAGTTGCGCACCATGACGCCGGCGCTCCTCTCCGTGTATTTGGCGGACGACGTGATGGCGTCGAATAAGTCGCCGCCCTGCAAAGCACGCCGGTAACTCACCAATTTATCAACTTGATCACTCCACAATGACGTTGACAGAGTGGCGTTGACTAGTCGCGAACCACCAAAGAGTCAAGAGGGAAAAATTGATCCATTTTTTGGGCACACACGATCAAATGGAAGGACAAAAGGTCTGTGATTATTTTCAAGTATAAGGGGCCAGTAATTGCACATCTATACCACAAGCTGAGAGAGATCAGAAAGCATCAACACCATGCAGCTAACATGTACACAATCATGAGCGCATGTTACATAGAGGACAGGATTCAGTCAATTTTCAAACAAACCAAGCAGCTAGCACATGAGGCTCATCCGTCGTGTTAGCATCTATCACGAGCCTAAATAACATGCCAGCCGTAGGTACGTCTTTGAATTTCACTTTTGATGGTGCCCGAGGTGCATTGGAAGACGACAAAACAGGCCGCGGATTGGAAAAAAACAAACAAAAGCAATCAATTCAAACGAACACCACCACCAAGATTCCACCAGAGGGCGCCAAAGTAACAGTTGCATTGCTTCTGCTTTTTAGCAAAGAATGGCGGATAAGTTCATTCATAAAACGAACTGTGGATACTTAGGCGACGCAGTCACTGCTCTGTATTGAACATAAATCAACAGTGTGCGTCAAACGTGTACCTTGACCAGCTCCATGACGAGACACAACTGCGAGGGCGTGTCCACCTCCTCCACCAGCATGATGATGTTGGGGTGCTTCACCCGCCTCAGCACGGACACCTCATTCTCGATCAGGTGCTCCTGCCAAAACACACTCGGATTAAAAACAGGATCAGGAATGAATAAAGAAAGAAAAAAAAACCCATTAACAGCTACCTTGTCGCGGCACTTGGCCTTGTCGATGATTTTCAGGGCAAACTCTCTTCCCGTGGCCCTGAGCAGACACGCCGCAATTAGACGGCAGCCATAACCGTAAAAAGAAAAGCATTTGAAGAGCTCAGCGGGGAGCAAAGACAAAGTTAATGGAGCGAGAGAAGAATTAGCAAAGAGCTCGGAGAAATTAATGGACCCTTAAAGGAGGAATTCACTGGCAAAAAAAAAAAAAAAACGCTACAATAAGTGAATGCTGCTGCGAGGTTGTTTATGCGATACAGTGGCGGCGCTCACTCCACAAAAGTCGGCAGTTTGGCAAACAGTGAACATGTCGTCAACAAAGAGGCTTCAAGCTGTTTGGAAGTTTGCTGTTCAATGAAAGCCGAAACAAAGACAACTACACGTTTTTGGAATTGAAGCAACGACATAAGTTGCGTCTCACGACAATCCATTTAGCTTAATGCTAACATATAATTGAAGACACCATTCAAACGTTAGCGGGTGGCATCGGTAGTTTCGGTTTTTGAACCCTCTAAGCCGTGGATCTTTGTCGGGGTGGGGAGGAAAATATATGCTCCTCCAAAATGTTGATAAAATATTTTGGCACATTTTTTTTTTCTACGTAGACATTTCCAGACAACATACTTAGTCTGTAACGTAACAAACAGTCTTGCAGTTTCAGTTAATTAGCTCCCTCTATTGGTGTAAAGTTGGCACTGCAGTCAAGCAATGAAATAAATTAGATGGGGGGGACTGTAAATATGACGTTTTAATGTGACAAATTTCACATTTTAAGGTCATGAATCTCAGGTTTTACGTAATTATCTTCGAAACTATAACGATAACCTATTCTTGCAAATACATTGTTTACGTTTAGGTCTGAGTTAAATAAACATTGGATGGGCTGGGTCACTGCGTTTTTGTTTTGTTTTGTTTTTTGCGCTACTTATGGTGCTTACCACTGTACCAACAGGCTCATCGAGGTGAACATACCTCTCGACGCACTCTCTCACCACAGCAAAGTTGCCGTCTCCGATGACTTTCCCGATGACGTATTTCTCCAGGACGACGGAGGAGGTCTGGTCGCTATGGTGACCGTTAACTGTAGAATTGAAGCACAGTATCAACAGACGACGGTCACACGGGTTCTTTTGGACAGGATGGCCAGTCCGCATTGTTGCGGATGAGAAGAAGAACGTAACGGAAAGGAAAAGATGAGAACGGGAAGGAGGGTAGAGCATGCGATCTGGAAAGAGAGAGGAAGCAAGATGATGAAAGATGGCGGGAAGCGAAAAGGAGAAATGAGAAGACCGAGCCAAAAGGCGACAAGGAAACGGGAGCGGACGAGAACGAGGAAAGGAGACCGGGGCGTACCCTCTGGACTGGTTGTCTCCCCCTGGTGGTCGTTGAGCGAGCCGCTGACGTTTGAATTGGAGCTGTGATGTGAAGGAGCCGTCTACGGAAGTCCCAAAGGAACAAATATCATCACAGTTGGCCTTCAAATCAAATCGATGCTGTAATCACCGTGGCAACAGGAACCCGCCTGTCTTATCTAACCCATTGCGTCTTTCATGCGTGTGCTTTTAAGACCACATTGAGGGACTTGGGTTGATGTGAAGTCGGCAGCTTCCATGTCACCGAATCCTAAAATCCGTCGCTAATTCTCGACTCGGCCTACGAAGGGGGCGTGCGCCTTTGCCAATTGGCTGCATCAGCCGTCTCAATCTAGACTCTGTGTCGTCTGCAAGCATCAATAATCCGGCGATAAAGCAGATTAACATTTCCACGCGCCAGGAAATACTCCCAACATGCCAGCCGCGATACAGAATTGATTTTGAAGTAGGTCAAGAGCATCGCGGGCCTGCCTCTGAGCTACGCATCGCCTACCTTGAGAGCGGGGAGGCTTTGCGGGCTGGTGGGCGACGGCGTGGACGACTTGGCGGACCTCGACGTGGCGACGTGACCGTTTACTGCGTGGAGAAAGATATAACGCTTGTGCTATCGCGTCTTTGTGTATATTAAAACAAAACAACAAAAAAAAGGCTCGGGGTTAGCATGCGTTGCATGTCCTAAACTCACCCGGAGATTTAGAAGGACACTGAGCGGTGGAGTAGCGGGTTGCACGCCTCGCTAAAAGCCAAGATGTGGATTTGGAGAATAAGACAAGACGGGAGAACAGCCTGGAAGAGCGCCACGTTGTGGTTTACCTCCGCCAGGAGACTTGCTGCGTCGCGAAGGTCCAGGACTCTTGCTCGTCCGGTTGGTGGTGACCGAACGACCGTGTGACGACTTCAGCACTTTGCACTCTGCCAAACGTTGAGACAAGATCAATGGAAATGTTGTCGCGATGGTCAAAGAAGGCCTACAAAGACTGAGAGTCGACCGCACGACGGCACATCGTCACGATGCCACGACGATACGGAAGCGTGAAGTGATGTTCACTCATTTGTGATGAAATTGTACTTTAGGTTCATGGAAGACTTTAAGTGTCGATTTCCGCGTTCAATTTCTTTATTTTTTTTCTAAAGTATGTTTCTCCACATTTCTTACAGAACGTAAATATACAGAAATGAGCTCAAATGTTCGTTTTCATCGATTGTCCCTTTGGCAGATGACAGTTTGATGCAAATACGTCATGGACAGAGAGAGGCTAATGTGAAGTGTCTTTTAACAAAACAAGTGCGTTGGTTTTGTTTAAAGCTTGAAATGATTCACGGTGGCTGGTTGAAGACTCCAAATTGTCTTGGATGTTCATAAAAATAAAAGAGAATTTGACGACCAATGTCAGTGCTGGTGTTGGCGGGTCAGGACTGCAAAGTGTTTCGTAAATAAACTCTTTGCCTTTATTTCAGCATAAGCCTAACCGACACATTTATGCATTTAAAAACGAAAAAAAAAAATTTTTTTAAATCAGATATCGTTTATTGTAATGCAGGTTCATTTTGCTTCGGAAGAGGACCTTAAAAAATCAAATCAAATCATCGCTAATTAACCCTTTCATGCACCAATGATGATAACCCGATAACACGATTGGCTGTCCACTATCACAATACTGACGAAAAAAAAAAAAAAATCGTAATTTGATTATTTTCCAGCATTGTTCAAGCCCTACTCTCAACTGTATTAGCTGTTGACATGACATCAGTGAACACGGCATTGTCTTGGATTGGATCGGGAAGCGTCTTGCGTCGTTTGTTCGGCTGATAAAACTGCAGGGAACAAAAAAAAAAAAGGTGCAACAGGATGTCAACGCTTTGGACCGAAATAAACTTTTGATTCCTTCCCTCGAGGGTGCTTCGCATTGGCCACACTTCCCGTTCCTGACCCCTCGTCAACCAATCAATGAACGAACTTAAATCAATACCTCTCTCTCTCTTTGCACCAATCAAAAGCGGAGCCTTACAAAAACAAAACTCCGCCGCAAAAAACAAAGAAGGGAAACACCCACCGCATACAGTACATACACACCCACGACACGCTCTGTGGTCCAAAGCACCAAAGAAGTTCGCGAGCACGAGTGAGAGGAGAAAGGCGACAGTGGACAACACCTGCAATAACACGACACCAAACCACGACGACAGACGGACGCGTGCGCAGTTAGTCGGGAGGGGGCCTACCCGTCACAAAGGCTGCGGAAGCCTTACCGCTGTGATCCAACGCAAAGTCGTCGTGGGCGTAGCGGTACTTCTCCGGGCCGCACGCGATGAACACGTCGTCGTCGCCGAAGAAATCCTGCAAGCACGTGATCTGGAACAAAAGCGCGCCGAATTTTTGGTGCATCTTGTTTTATGATAAAGACGGTCGAGCAATTTCATGTTGATGGGATTTTGGTGACTCTGAAATTTCTTGGCTGCTTCTTCATGGAATTGGCCCCTCCAAAATGGCTACCTCAATATATATATAGATTTTTTTTTTTTTTTTTTAATGGGCGGGGAGCATGTGTGCGTGGACCGGCAGGTGAAATCAGGTAATTTTTGGGTCGCTCCATTGTCGACGGGCGACTTATTTTTGCTGGTCGAAGTGGGGGAAAAAAAAAAAAAGGTTATTTTAGTGAGTGAAAATTAAATATTAACAGGAAAAAAAAAACAAGAATGAACTGAAACTACATCTTCTGATGATAAAAACTAACTATAATGATTCTCAAAAGCCTCCTTTGTGAATTAATATCACACATGAGCTTTCAAGGTTCATTTTAAACGGATGTATTTTGATATTGCCGTCCATCCGTAGAGAAGAAAGGATGTCAAAGTTTTAGTAAAACATATATTTTTTTAAATCTTGCACTCAACAAATATTCCATGTTTAAATAAAACTAAGACTAAAACTAATAAAAAGGAAAAGAAAATGAAGCAAGTCTGGGAAAAAAAAATCTAAAGTTCATAACAAACAGGCATGTTTTAAAAACTAATGTAAACTGAAAAAAAAAAAAAAAAAAGTCAAAACAAAATAAAAATGGCAGCGTCATGAAAAATCCAAAACTATTCCAACCCGGGTGAGAACAGAGAAGAAATACCAAGCATCCAAATGCGTCCCTCCGCTGCTGTTGTACATGTAAACAGTGGGAAGGGAGAAACTGCAAAAGATGAGTTCAATGATCGCCTCCGCATGTTGGTAACCACGTCATCTTCATAATCGCATGTTGCTGCGTGCAGTGTGGGTGCGAGGTGTCCCGAAAAAGCAAACGCCACCTAGAAAGGAGCGGCGGGAGAGAACAGCCGAAAATAGCTCAGGTGGGCAGCAGGCGCAGTCATCGGTGCTACTAAACGGGACTGAAGCACATTGACTGAACAAAAAGAGGGTCCGGCGTGTCTGCTTCCGTCCACCCGTGGGATCCGCTTTTAAGCGCAAGCGCCGCAAACCACAACATGTTTGACATCCTTAAGCCGGGTAGCGTGATTTTGTTGTTGGAATTCGCCAGCTGAGCACCACACCGGGGAGACGAATGTTACGGTTGCCGTGGCAACCGACGCCTGCAGGGGCGGCGGCCTCAACAGTCACGGCGTGGCTATTGCGGCATCGGGGGTGATCGGCACGGTGCCGCGAGGGGCGATGACCGCCGAAGGACGACTGGCGTGGAAACGTCGCCCCGCCCCTCGCGCGAGGCACGACGGATGCCACAATGAGGTCAAATCTTCGGTTCCTCCCGGCCGACGAAACCAAACACGCACCCAAACACCAAAATTGAGGACATGACCGACGGATTGCACACGGTGGGCAAACTGATCGCCAAACGGGGAGCGAGACCCGACATCTCGGATCATTCGCCTCGGCGGCCAACGAGAGACGAGCGCATCGGCGCGCGCATTGGAGAGGACAGTTGGAGGTTGGAAAGGGGTCAAAAAAAAAAAAGGAGGCCATCTTTGTCAGCCGGGATTAACCATCACGCCGCCAGAAAGGTTGGAACGTCGTTGGGAATGACGCCTTGTCGCAACAACTCAAGCGCAAAGCTCGTTGAGCCGCGCGTGGCCGCAATGGCAGGGCAGGAAGACAACGAGGCACGTGATGGGGGGACGGAAACAAATCTGGGTGGGCTCTTTGCCACTTGGTAGGATTTCAAGCCATTTGGTGGCCTGGTTTTTGTTGGGGTTTTTTTTTTCTGTTGTCACGTTCTTCGAGACTGATTCCGAACTGTGCGCTGAAACAGTTTTGTGGTTTTGCGTCATTGAGCAGAGCTGATAGAATCGGCGCTACGAAAAGGTCGAATGAAGGCGGTTCCGTCCTCGCTTGGAGGCTCCAAAAACGCGGCTCACCGCTGCTCCAAAAGCCACCACAAAAGTTTCCGCAAGACCTGCTACCAATCGACATTCCTTGCCCTTCACGTTTGGCGAGCTGCACAAAAAAAAAAAAAAAAATCCCCACTTTTGTCTTTCCGACCTGCCGAGAGGCAGTTGTCGGACAACAGTAATAACACAGCCGAGTGGCGGGGGTTCCGCTCCCCCAACGTGATGCCGACTGGACCTGAAAAGAGCGTTTGAGAGGCTGATGACATCATACAATGGAACACAATAGACGCCGTCCCCATTCTTGCCCCGCCCCGCCCCCAGCCTTCAGGCTTTCTACACACAACCCAACCAACCCCCAAAACAAAACAAAACTGTCTCTCTGTTGTCTGCTGGACTTTTTGCAACTATTTGGAGTGTGGGAAAGTCAATGATTTAGCCTCGCAAACTTTTAGCAGCGGTTCGAAAATGCTCGATAACTTCCAGCGTGACGTGCGGTCGGGACAAAGCAAATTTCTCCTCCGATGACCTAAATGCTGGCGCTTTAATCCACACTTGGCCCTGAAAACTATCAGATGGCATCCCCGTGCGACGCTGACCGCGCCAATCTGTCTGAGGCCGCTGCCGCCGTGGCACGTTGCCCCCCGATGACGAACCTGATCGTCGGTGAAACCTTTTGACGAGGGCTGCTTTGGAGAATCGGGGCCAGCAAGGCAGCATGGAAGATGATGCCACAGTCGTTCAAGGTGGAGATAAGCCAAAATCGGTCGTGTCTTTGATCCGCAATGTTGCTGAGAGCCATAAAATGGCCTTTATTTGCTGTTGCTCGGTTGATCACCCGATCAGAGACAACGTGAGGCTTCATATTAACACCAGTCAAGTTCAAAAAAGTTAACAAATTCAATGGCGTAGGCAAAAATAAATAAATCCAAATTTTAAACAGCCTTCCTATTGGGGCTCATTTGGACGAACTTCTTCGAAGGATTTCATCAAAGTATGAGCGCTGAAATTAATCTAAAACGGTGTCATGGGGTCATTTTTTTCCCCCTATCTTTCCAGGCCCATTTTTTCGCAGATATCTCCTCCAAAATGGCTGCTTCCAACAAACCGATGCCCTTTTCAATCAGCAGTCCTAACCAAGCTTCATTTGGTGTCATAAAACCCGCAGCAAACTAGGCGGGTGAAAACCAATCCAAGCCTTGGCGACATAAATTGATGAAGCCGACACGGATGAGAGGCAAAACGTCTTTAAGACAAAACAAAGCGGTCCCAAGTTGCGATACTCGTGTGACCCGATAAACGGGCGGGGGCGGGGGGTTTGGGGCCACTGAACTTTTGACCAACAAACAGGATCTGTATGAGTCCCACGTTAGTCTGAGGCGATACAATCGACAACAGGCGGCACGTATCCAAAAAAAAAAAAAAAAAAGAGGGAGAAGCTCTTTAAGAGCAGATGTTCCAATTATCTGCGCTAGGGCCCGTTTCCTCTCCCTGCCGAGTTGTTTACCTTCCGAGTTGCAGATACTGAGACCTTTGGGATAGAAGTGGACTTGGTGGGTGCTAAAACGGTTCCGTGCGAAAAGGTGGAAGTACACAAAAATATCAAGGAGAGTGTGATCACAAAAAAAAAAGAAAGAAAAAGAAAAAAAATATCGGGACCGCGACCTTTGAACCCGCGAGAGAGGTGAGGTTGATTGTATGATGAGCTCTTGGTGAAGTTCAACAACGTAAAAATGAGATTCTGTCTTCAAAGCGGCGGCTGATAAGCGGCGAGAATGAACATTCAGTCTGAAGAGGACAAGTCAAGAGAGAGCACCATTGTGCGCACGCACGCACGCACGCCACCTGACAGCTGAGCTTGGGCGCTCCCTTCCAGTTTATCGGTCTAATTATCCGGTGGTGGCATGGAGCCCCAGTAGATTGCGGGGGGATCATGCGGGCACGTGTGCGACACCCCACTACTGTTTGTGTGCCTGCAGTTGGTGGGACTCCAATGGCGTCTGCAGGGCGGGTGGCTGGGCCCCCCCCTTTTTTTTTTTTTTTTGAAGGAGGAACAGATGGTAGGCTGCAGCTGGGGGGGCGTCAGCCCTCAGAGGGTGTGTTGTGTCCGCTGTGTTTATTGGCTTGGCTGAGTGAGCAAGCAAAGGGCTTTCAAGGAAAATAAAAAGCGGCCTTTGGACTCCAGGAGATAATGTTGAGTGAAAATGAAAAAGAATTGACGATTTAACTTCGTATGAAATGTTGATTACAGACCGGTAAGTAGTTTTTTGCTGTTGTTGTTTGTTTTTTCAGGGATGGGTGGGTGGGGTGGTCGCACGTGCTCAAGCACTCACCTCATCAGATTTTAAGAACGCGTTGCAGCAATTGAACAAGAGGGACGAGTTGGAACGGGGTGGGCGCGAACTTGACTCGCGCACGACGGAGGCCTCCAACGTGTCTTCATTTGCGCCTCATCGACGTGACTGCGACATGTAATTACGTGCGCACGGGATTGTATGCGTTTTAATTACTAAGACCGCTGACACAGCTGCAGCTGATAAATCGCTGTCTACACCGGATCCCCAAACTGCTCAAAATGGAGTGCGCTACTCGGCCGCGACCAACAGGGGCGCCCCGAAGTCAGTCTGGTTCTGACGAAGAACGATGTGGGCAGTTGACCTCGATGGAGGGAATGATCTGTGAACGCTGCGTTAATTCTGCTGCACACGAATGGCTTACTTGGACTTCTGGGGTGAAGCATCATCGAAAATGAAGCTGATTTCTGATGTCATGGAGACAACGGGGAGTTTTTTTTTTGTTTTAGGGCAAAGTTGACTGTATGTGCGCAGCTGCTGCGGCAGCCATGTTTCAGGCCACTGTGGACAAAACGCGGGTGAGACGGCGATGGGCAAACATGACAGATTTGACATGTTTGACCTGACAAACATTTGAGTGAATTCGTTTTTGATGGAAAACTAGTTGGATCATTTTTTTTTTCCCCGGCAGTGTACACTGGCAGAAGCGGCATTCTGGACCAACTGGAGATGCTTAATGGAGGATTACTTGACTCCAACGTAAAGTGCATTGCAGTAATTCAGCTGGGATGTGACGATGGCATGAATGACTGCTTCAAAGTGCTCATGAGAGGTTTTACTTTAGCCAGCTGCCTAAAATGAAAGAAGCTGGATTGATCAACGGCACCAATTTGCCGGTCCAATTTAAAATGCTGACACCGATGCTCATGCTGCCAGGCCAGGCCAGGCCAGGCCAGGCAGGGGATTCGTTTGACTCTGCCAGGGCAACAAAGAAGCTCCAAAGCTGCCAGCTGTCCACTTGTCAAACCGCGGCTACCGTTGCCCCTGGCGCCATATTGGAAACGAAGCCCTTCAACACTCCATCGGGCATTCAACAAAGAGACTTACTTGCTTGCCTTGTAGCGTGTAGAGCCTCTTCACGGCACCCGAGTCCAGCTTGACGGCGTCTGTGATGTCGGCGAGCACCTGCTCAAAGGAGTGCGCCGTCTTCCTGTTGAGCAGGACGCGCACGGCCTTGCGCGGTTTGACGCCGCTGCGCACCACCGTCACCAGTTTGGGCTTGATGAAGTCTTTGGGCTGGCGCTGCTGCTGCTGCTCGCCCCTGGGCGCCACCAGCGACGACAGGGAGCGCGACGTGCCCGTCTTGCTGCCCACGGCCCAGTTAGGGTTGACGTTCTTGGCGTAGTCCACGCGGCGGAAGGGCTCGTTGGAGGCGCACACGTAGCTTTCTCCTAGAGGGGAAGAGAAAGGCAGTGGAACATTTGGTTCGGGGACCACAGAGAACGTCAACGAACGTTTGTTTGATTGACACACGCCACTATTTCTTAGGGCAGGGGTCACCAACCTTTTTGAGAGTGAGAGCTACTTCGTGTGTACCGATTGTGTGAAGGGATATCAAATTGATACACGTCTGTAATAACATTTGTACAAATTACATTTAATAATATTAGGAATGTGTTATTTTGCATACTTAATGATTTTAATTTTCAGGCTCTGATCATCTTAAAGATGCGGGCACCAGGTTGGTGACCCCTGTCTTAGAGCTTGCGTCGTAAAAGCAAGAAGAGACCGTGGAGCGACCATCGGATGTCCATCCGGACCGAATTGGCCATACGCAGTCTTAAATTGAAAGGGCTAACAAACTTTGTCAGAGAGCAAATCTAATGAGCAAACAAAAGCTCCTCAAATCAAGAGATCGCCCGGGCACTGACGCGTTCCTCATTTGAAGGCCAAGTATCGAACCACGTCAACAAAAGGCAGGCTCGGCCTTTTCAACATTGGCCCGCTGAGCTGCTGCGCTGGCCTTCATCCAAGGCGAGATTTTCTGCCAGCATTCCAGTCGGGGAGTGGACACGCAAATATTTCCCCCTCAGAGCGAGCACAAAGTGTGAGGCTGGCAGCGGATCGGTCTGATTGCGGCGCTTGAATTTTGATCCACTAAGCACAGCTGATCAATCCGCCTCTGATCAGGCGATGTGCATGTGGGAAGCAGTTGATGAGCGGCGCACAGGCTAATCCTTTCAAACCTACGTGCCAGGGCCACGCTGACGTTTCCTAATGTGTGTCAAGAGGAACGAAACGGAGCTTCTCGGTGTAACAAGGCCGTTTTGACGAGGTCTCCCTTGATACTTGGCTTGATTCGGCTTGCTAATTATATAGCGAGGCCACAGAAGGAGGCCGGGGACTTTTATGCGGCTGTCATTAAACTATTGGGGTGGGGTGGAGGGGGGGTGGATCGTCTCGCAACTGTGTAAGGACCAGTGACACGATTATTCTCTTGGGGTGACTGGATCTCAGGTGCGGCAAAGGGAGGTGCCGCCCACCTCCAGTCGCCCACGGGAGACAAGTCTGCTGTCCGCTTGCGGACGACAGATGCGGTCAAAGCAGCCCGCCAGCGATGATGAGACAACCCGAACATTTTCAGGCTGCAGTCCCGGGAGTCGATTTTCTTGGGGCGTCCAACAAAAAGGCTCAAAGCTTGCATAGGCGCCAAAGGTGTTCTCGGACTTGTACCCGTGAACATGAACGAACTACACAAGAGTTGGCTTGGAACGCTACCCCGCCTGATTGACTGTGACAGATGGAAAGGGGCGAAAAATGGACTCTAATTTGATTGACACAGAGTAAATTGTGCCAGTGTTAAAGCCCCCCTGCCCCCCCAGGTCTATTTGCTAAAGTCTGCAGGCAGAGAGGAAGCCTTTCAAGGTGACACGCTATACATTTTTAATCACAATTTAAAACTGTCTTTAAAAATAGTCTCTGCTGATCTTCTGTCACAAGTACACAAAAGAATAAGATTGACAACACTTGTCTCAGTTGTTGAACTCATTTGGTGGTACGGGGGCTGGTTCGCCCTCAGGCGAATGCTGAGTCGGGCTTTCGTTACCATAACAACCGAGCCCAGAGCTAAAGTATCAAAATGAAGCGGAGGGCTCGTCGGTCTTGTCAATTGAGGGACCTTGATGACAACTTGAGTACGTTTTTCACTCGTCCGCCCCTTTAGCATCCAGGCGAATGCATGAAAGCCAACGCTGGCTAATATAAACATTTCTACCACCACTATCACCCCTCCTTTTTTCACCGGAGCAGCAACGTCCGGCTCAGTAATCCCATCCAGTCGCGAGTCAATTGCTCTCCGTTGGATTTGCACACACAAAAAAAAAAAAACCAACTGTCGACAGACCTCAATCGATGGCAGCGAACCGCTGAGCCCTGCGAAAATGTCGATTCACGCAGTGGGAAAGATGGCAAGAGGTAGCTCGTCGGCTGATTTGAACTCTTCTCTGGATATCTTTAAAGCTCTGTTTTCGTTTTATTGCAGTCCAGAGGTTTCACTACTTTCATCCCGACCATAAAAAGTGAGTTGAGCCTGTGAAGTCGGCGAAAACTTTGTTATGGAGGAATTACTGAACTGACGTTGAATTGCACTGGGGAATAACATTTTACAGTCAAACAAATTACGACCAATTGCAGCTGTAAACGGCAATGACTGGGCCCTCGCGCCACCTTTTCATGGCGAGCCCTCAAAATGGTGAGCAAATGTTGACGCCCACATTAGATGGCAAAAAGGCTTTGCAATTTAGCGGTGCCCATCTGACCTTTTTCACTGATCAACACAGAATTCAGTATACATGCAGGTGATAACTTATTGCAGAAAGTAGGGGTGTCAAACTCATTTTTGCCGAGGGCCATGTTGAAGTGACCGTTTTCCTTGGAGGGCCATTATGACTGTGAAAGCATTTAAAGAAGTCGAGAATAATGGTTGATTCAACGATTGTTTAAGTTACTGTAATGAAGGGTTTGGTAACAAGAAAATGCTTACAATATCTCTCTTATTTATTACATACGAGAAGTTGAAATTTTGGTCCAGATTTTAGCAATCAAGGTAGAACTTGACATGTTTGATTTGCTTTCCCGGGCCACATGAAATGATCTGGCGGGCCAGATCTGGCCACCGGGCCTTGAGTTTGACACTGGTGGTCTAAGATGATACATACCCAATATCGAAAATGAGCATATTTTTCCCCCTCGGTCTAAACAAGTAAGTGTAACTGACGACTAAATTTTTTCTTATGGCGTTTCTTGAAGCCAGAAGTTGACGTTTGAAATGACTTGAATTTTTGTGTCATGTCTGTGATCAACTTTCTTTCCACACATTTAAACAGCTGAGTGAGCATCGTCAGAGACTGGTGATTCCATCACTTTGGCCAGGTGTTCGACTTTTGGGCCAGACGGACACTTGGGAAAAAAAAAGGCTCCCAAATTGTACGCTTAACCTTGCTTTTTTATCTCACCACCTTACCCTCCACCAGCTCGTCGAGGCTGCTGATCTTCCTGCCCCCGTCCAGGGCGTACAGGGTCCGGACCCCCTGCGGCAGGTTGACGTTGTCCGACAGCGAGCGCGTCAGCTCCATGAGCAGCGCGTCCATGGAGCGGAAGCGGTCGGACGACACCGCGTACACCAGGCCCTTAAAGTACTTGTCCCCGTTTCGGTAGAAGCGCACTTTCCTGGCCTTCTTCTCCGACGTGAGCGACTGCAGGGTTCGAGTCCGGTAGAAGCTGCAGTGAGCGCTGTGAGCCGGGCTGGCCGTCAGTCCCGCGCCCCGGGAGGACCCTGCGCCGGCGGCGTGGAAGCCCGCAGCCCTCGGCATCCGATGCTGCTTGCTGTCGCGCTCCTCAAAGTGCTTGAATTCGATGCTCCTGCTCAGCGACATGTCGTGCGCTGTTTTAAACCCAAACCAACTTTCGGTGACGATCGGAGAGCCAAAGGTTGCTACAAAACGAGCCCAAAAGCGGTTCGAGTTAGTTGCTTCGACATGTTTGAGTTGTCCTGAAGACGACGAAGTTGGTCCAAAGAAACTTTAAAGAGGTTCGAGAAGAGTTCCATCAGCTTGCCGCGGTTCGTCTGCGGCCAGCGAGCGTGAAATGTGTCAAATATATTGAATCAATGGATGGTTGGATGGATGGACAGCGCGTGAGCGAGCGAGGGAAGCCCGGAAGCCCAACCCGCACTCACGTCTCAGGGTCCTAATGTCTGCCCTTTTCCGATGAGACTGAAGTACAGTACAGTACAGTTTTTGGACACAGCCGTGGAGGTTCTTTAAAGGGGTTACAGTACAGTACACGTTTTTGGACACAGCCGTGGAGGTTCTTTAAAGGGGAAGGGGGAATCAAACCCCCTTTACGTTGTGATTGTGTGTGTGTGTGTGTGTGTGTGTGTGTGTGTGTGTGTGTGTGTGGTTTTTATGAAACAACTTTCTCTCAAAAATGTCTTTATCGTTGTATTAACACATTCTTGTCGTATGAAGTTTTACTTTTGTAAAATATAACGTTAACATGTTAAGATTACATTTCTTCATGAATATTTTGAACACGATGTAATGTGACATGTACATATGAAACATTTTAACTATCTTAAAATCGTACAACTATCTTGGGACAATTGTGGTTCCATTCTTTGAAAAATAGAACTTTTTTTAACTTCGTTTTTCTAAATACTGCAACTTGTTAATAAATAAAAAAAAATACAAATCCAATATTACCCTTGTGGAGTTTTTCTCCCTTGCATGGGAGGTCCAACTTCTTTCCTCAAAACAATGAAACGTTATTCTCATTCTGACTTTATTTTCAACATCATTTTTAATCTTAACATGTTATGCCTGTAAAATTATGTATTTATTCTTGAAAAATTAACTCAAACCGTTAATTTGAAAAAAAAAAACGAACAAATTCACCATACAGCATGACAGTAGTGATTGAGAAAACGTTGAAAAATATATCTCTATACATTTTTGTTTTTCTGAGAACGAAGTTACTATCAAGAGATTTTTACAACTATACCACCCACGTACTTCCAAGGACGCCTCCGGGATTCTTCCCTCCCCAAGCCAGCTGTGTCGGATGTACCGCGTGAGGCGACTGCAAGGGAGGAAGTGAGAGCGCAGAAAGCAAATTGGAGCACTTTTCCTGCAGCCAGGCAACAGGATATCCTGTACAGCAAGATGACAAGCGTCCCATTCTCCTCTATAAACAACAAGCAGGTCAGAGGGGAGGTCTTCAAAGTCGAGTCCGTGTTCCCTTCACTGCGTTCACTGAAATTATCATATTATGACGAACTCAGGAGGATAATCATTATTTTCATGCTTTGTGCAAAAGAAACCACCAGTTACAAAACATATTCCCAGTTTCATTTCCAGGTGCATTTCCAATCCCCTCCAAAATGATTGGAACACTGAGTTCCAATTCCCGATATTGACACACTTCCAAAACAAAGAGTCCCTCAGGGGGAAGAAGTGGATGGTTTTAGGTTGTCCGGGCCCACCACGGAACGTAAACACTATAGAACATGCATTTATGCCATTTTAGATCAAAACTGAAGGGAGTGGACAAAGAGTTTATCCAGTCTAAAATAAACCAAGTCTGGCACAAAGAATAGTTTGGCTTTGGCGCCATCTTGTGGAATTTTAGCGTGTTTCAAAAACAGTGAAAAGCATTTTTTTTAAGCGAATAATGGAGGATCTGTTCCCCCCAAAAACTGGAAATAGCTGAATGTACGGGCCGGGGCAACGCTGTAAATAGATCCCCACGTCACAGAAAAATCTCAGAGTTGACTACAAACCCAGTTCCACTGAAGTTGGGACGGTGTGTTGTACATCAACAGAATACAAAATGATTTCCAAATCACGTTTAACATACACTTAATTGAAAAGACGAGCTATTTAATGTTCAAACTGATAAAATGTGTTTTTAGCGAATAATCTTTACCTTTGAATGTTATGGATGCAACCCCCCCCCCCCCACATAAAGCCCGCAGGATTAGCAAAGATGAACGATGATGCATACATCATCATGCACATGGAATGTGTCAGAAAATTTGCATGACGAGCAGTTGGGACGCTGACGGTTTTCTTTCGCGGTGCATACGAACCAAACCAGCCGGCAGGTTAACTTGCCTGACGTCAGAGTCGCTTGACGCTCTCATTGGCAGAGCTGGTGACCTTGGGTATGGTCAAAACATTTCCCCCCCCCCAATTTGAACATGTTTGACCTTCAAAGGCCGACGTAATCCATTTCCGGAAACGGTTAGCTAATGGTCTTGAGCTAACTATCGACTCCTTTAGACAGTAAATAAACAAAACACCATAAAATCATCACTTCAACACACTTAAGACGAGCTACATGGTCGCTAAGGAGTCCTTGAACACACCTAATAAGTGTATAAAATGGTAAAGGCAAAAACAGCAGTTCTGAACTAAGTTGTCTTGTTTTATTGGAAGCTCGATCAGCAGATGGCGCTGTTTGACAGGCCTCTGTGTGTCAAAAATCGACAGCTCTCCTCCGGTGAGCAAGTTTTCCCCCTCGATAAAGAAGCACCTTCTTCAGACTTTCTCCCCAGGAGTACCTGGAGCCATGTCAGTCTCAATCCTTCAGGGACTCCAGAAGTGCAACACGCGTTGTGTCCAAATGGAAATGTGGACTGGATGCTTTGCACAATTGTCTGTTAAAGACTGACAGCTTTGGGAGGCTTTCCCCAGTGCGCTTTTACTTGATACGAACTAAATAAAAGCTATGGATTTGGATCAAGAGTCATGGTCATATTAGCAATTCATATTTTTAAGGTATTTTTTTTCCCTGTATATTTTGGCAAGTCATATATGAAGAAAAAAATGTTCTCGGTTCCATTCTGAGTTTGCATCCATGTCAAACAAACTGTTGGTTCTCAAACATTTTACACTACCTCAAAGAATTTCGATCTTCAAGTACAACCATCATGACCAACTTGAAAATACAGTAGCACAAAGCAATTGTATTCCTAAAAGATCCATCATATTGTGCGAGTCACACTACACTGTACAAAGTGTGAAGATTAATAACATTAAAAGAGCTCTTAAATGTGGGAAAACAACTACTGAATGCTTCATTTAAAATGCAATGCACAAAAGTTTAAAACTCATTTTACTTAAATGTTTGAAATCAAATGGTTATAAAGACTGAATGGAGCTGTACGGAAAAATGAAATACAACAGATCTAAAATTAATAAATGCACTGGGCTGGATTTTTTAAAAATGGCTTCTTCAACATGATGCAGTTTGAACCTTGAGTTCAGACATTGCGTTCTATTGCTATGCTATGTGTTTCTTAGTTATTTGTTGTGAGGCTACACTGCGGATTCAGATATACAGCGTAGTGAATGACAGAATGCATCGCTATGTGTCGGGTGCTTTGACTGATGCTCTCCTGTAAAGCAACTGGCACCGATAAGACCAACCATGGCATCCGTCCGTTGCTTTATTTATAATCTGGATCGATTTGAGTGATGAGCTCCTCTGAGTTTGTGTGTGCGCCTGTAGGAGTATATACAGACCAATTGTTTACGTATAACAATCGAATTGAAGTAGTTGACACGGGCCTGTCCTGTTTGTGGATGTTACACCTCGCATCTGTTGCCTGGCAACAGCTCCCCATTTGCGGTCTGTGGCGCGGAGACGGCAGGAAGTGATGCTTTGCTGCTGCTCTCTGTGAATCACACACTTGGTTGGAGACTCAGTGTCGCAGTGATGTAACAATGTACAGTATTTATGTGCTTTTTGAGGAGCCTGACAAGACGCTTTATTAGGTCCACCTGCACAATCTCATGTGATCAGTGTGAAAAGTTGTGCCTTGACAAAAAAATAAATAAATAAATAAATAATTAAATAATGCGCAACTTTTCATTTGACAAGCAGTGTATCATATTTGCTCTGAAAATGGACATCCTATACCTGACTGTATGGTCATAGGAATGTCATGACACCATCGAAAGGCTATTTAAAATTAAGTAGAAATCAAATTATTTTAAATAATAATATGATGTGGAAAAACCCTGCTATAACATCATATTTTATGGGGTTTTAAATTGATTACAAAGAGAACATTAGCGGTTTGTTGATAGGTGGATAATCAAAGCTATTGCTTTAGGCTAATGAAGGGTAGCATAGCAATGCGAATAAGAAAGCGTATAATGCGACATAAATTTCTCTGATTATCAGACACCGCCTCGCTCTCATAAAAATTCAATGTTGTAGGCAAAATCTGTCTCCAAAAGCCTCTCCGGGCTTGAGTCGGCGGTGTGGTTTTCGACTCCTCATCCCGCTCGATGCCATCTGTTGCTCATTTTTCCATTTGGTTCCCGTCTCACGTTGGCCCGGGTGAAGTCTCGCATGTTGCGAAGCTTTCGGCGTACAAGAATTTGTTCATTTAATTCCTTCCAAATGAGGGTTTTGTCACAAGAGCGGCGTTGTGGAGCCGTAGAATTATAATTAAGACAAAGTCCTGGTAAATTAAAATGAACAAAAGGCACAGGTGGTCGGGCAGTCTTGAATATCAGTTTTCCAGTTTCCTCGCATTTAATTGAGGCCAATGTCAGAAAGTAACGACTGCTCAATTGCTGCTGTAAAAGACAGGCTAAGTCACAAAAACAAAAGAAAGCTAAATGTTGGCGCTACATGCAAACATAACTTGTCCAACATCATGTCTTCAAAGACTCCGAAAGCTCTGTAAAGGAAGGTTAGCTTTGACCTTCATGCTAACACAACACAAGTGGCGTCCTGGCTGGTTCGGAAAGAAGATGACGAAATGACAAAGACATGAGCTGAAGTTAAAAAAAAAAAAAAAAGAGAAAGCCATGAAAGCAGAATATTTTATAGTAAGTTTCAGTGATTGTTTCATATATATCGTACTGTATCTTCGTGCTGTTATAAGCCTTGAAGAAAATACAGTTCTACTTTTGTGTCACTATAAATTGGAACGTAAGCCCCGTGATAAACGAGGGATTACTATATACATGGAAAATACACACATATTTGCACGAAAAGACGCACACAACTCGTTGAGTTATGAACCACAGTGGCAGTAGTGGTAACTGTCAGGGGGTGGCAAGTAATGTTGGTGCTATTTGATTGGCTGACAAACGATCGCTCACTGGTGTGTGACAACGGGAATCGAACAGGAACATTCTGACATTTAAACTGTCTCACTTTGCCTTTTTGTATCTACACGAGCAAATTCTTTAGAGAAATGCGCTAAAGAT